TATATTTTTTCCTTATAGCAACTGTTAAAATTGTATATATCTATATATATATACCTTATATCTATCAAAAATAGATAAAATAGTACTTTAACCGCTAGGGTAGATTAAATGATACTTTAACAACGAGGATAGGTTAAAAAAATTATTTCTTCTCGCACGTTTTTTAATTGCTTCCATTTTTGAAAATTTTTGTATTTATTTTCATAAGTTCTTCGGGATTTAAATGGAAGTAGTTTGGATATGGCGTTTGTCGCCTCAGCCTGAATATATGTTGGTAATTTACTTATTTCGTTTTGAGCCATTTCTGGCTAAAATTCAATCAGCAATCGACACGGAAGAGAATTAAAAAATATTCACTCAAAACTGACAACTAAAGAGGCAGATTTATTTATTTGTCAAATTACATAGAAACCAACGCCAACCCAGCACAATATTTTTTCTACTTGTAATAAATTCCTTGAAATAATAATTTCTGAATATTTTTTAGAACCTAACTCGCTATGGAAAAAAATATTGTTTTATACACGACGATAAAACTGCATTATCGTCTCGACGATAAAATACCATTTTATCGTCTTGTATAAAAAAATAACTAAAAAATATTACAATTTCTGCATATTAAATGAAACATGTTTTTGTTAAATTTTACTTCAATTTATATTGATTACTGATATTTTATTGAAATGTGGCAACACTATAATATGTATGCACCAGCTTGATGGGCTGCATGATATATTCTAGAATCCCTCTAGGTTAACTTATTTTTCTGATACCTCAGATTAGAACTTACTTGAAATAGAATACTGGGAATCGGTAACTGCACGATATTGGCACAAAATGTCAGTTGAACAGGACGATTTAAGCGATTTTTACCGGTTAAAAATACGAAATTTCTTCCTTTTTACGATGGAAGAACGCGAACGGTTCGTTGGACTGCACGACTAAACTCTCTCTCGTTAAAATTTCAATGTCATCCGACAAATATCGGTAATGTTTTTACTTTTGCTCTAGATTTCTTGGCCAGTTAACGCTAGTCTACTGACCATCGATTACTACATTTTTCGGATAATTTTTAAACGTTTTCAAACAGAAATAATCGGAATTTTTACAGTAAATTGAATTTTAATCGTTTCAAAAAATATAAAATTTCAGGATTAGTTACAACAGATGGCAACATTGTTTTGTCCACGTTTATGGAAGTGAAAGTTGTAGTTTTTGGATACGCTTTATGGATAATCTGTAACAATGGCGAAAAAGAGTAACGTTTGACAACGATGTTCATTTTTTTAAATATTTGAGTTAAGGAATATAGATAAAGATCGTACAAAATGAACTTAAAATAGTTACGTGATTAAGCTTGACCGCCACAGTGTTGCCCACTTTTACATATTTTCTTTTAATCAAAATATTTTAGGAAACAAAAATCAATTAATTAGTTATACAGGGTGGTTCGAACAGTATTCCGGAAACTTCAGCAGCATATTCTGCAGATAAGAATAAGTAAAAAAGTTCTTATAAATGTATGTCCTAAAATGCTTAGCATCGGAGATACAGGGTGTAGAAGTTTCATTTTTATTTCTATTTTTTCCAAATAATTTCTGAAGTAACATCAATATTTGGATGAAATTTGGTGTCTGGGAGTTTTTTGATATGAGAACTTCGATTTTGATGTCAATATGACTCCTACTTGTAGAGGGCGCCACCTACGTATTTTTGACTGGTTTGAAGAGTAATAACTTTTCGTCCGTACCTGTATAAAATTACTTAGTAAAAAAATATACATTTACGACGTTTTTAACGTAAAAAAGATCTCTTGGTAAAAAGCGCTACGAGTAATAGTTCTCGAGATATTTAAAATCGAAATTTTCAATACCTGTCATCATTGACATAAATTAAACATGTTGACTAAATAGTTAATAGACGGAAATCATAAATTTGAAATGTTTTTGTGCCAAACCATCATCAATCATCACTTTTTCGAAGAAAACTTTATGATTAACTTAAAAAAATAAAAATTTTCCAAATTTATCTTTTTAGTCAAATAACTATCTACTCAGCGTGTTTATGTTTTGTCAATAATGACATGTATTGACTATTTCCATTCTAAATACCTCGAGAAGGGTTGCTCGTAACGATTTTTACCAAGAGACATTTTTTACGTAAAAAAATGCGAAAATGTATATTTTTTCACTCAGCAGTTTTATACAGGTATGGAAAAAAAGTTATTACTCTTCAAAACAGTCAAAACACATATAGGTGGCGCCCTCTACAAGTAGGGGTCATATTGACATCAAAATCAAATTTCTCATGTCAAAAAACAGACACCAATTTTCATCCAAATACTGACGTTACTTCAGAAATTATTTGAAAAAAATCGAAATAGAAACGAAACTTCTACACCCTGTATCTCCAAAACTAAGCATTTTAGGACATACATTTATAAGAAGTTTTTTATTTCTTTTTATCTGCAGAATATGCTCCCGAAGTTTCCGGAATACAATTTGGACCACCCTGTATATAAAGAGTTATTATTTACATCAACAAAACTCACTTCCTTTTAAGGGACATAAAGGGCCATTATTACCGCTTTCCCGTTCAAAATATTCTAATAATGTTGCGGTGATTTTTTTTAACGGCTATTAAACTATCTTGTACACTTCGCACTAAAAGAGGTTCTAAAAAGAATCTCTTTTTAGAACGCTTGAAAATGCTCAACTGCAAGGTCTGCTAGTAAAACTTTTTACGCTTAAAGTATGACAAAAAAATATTTAAACCAAAAACTCGTAATACAAAACTAAAGTGTCAAAACGACTGATAATGTCAGGAAATAAATAAATAAATATGGCAAGTTGACTATGATTTTTTACAACAGAGCTACCACCTGAATCCCCAGCGGTAAATTTAAGTTCCAGTTTTTAGTCAGCCCCTACCAGTAAGTCCATGGTTGACAACAATAAATTTAAAAATTGTGCCCTGGATTACGTAACTAAAAGTTTAAGATATATAGTGGTACATTGTATTGACTAAGAGTGGGTCCCATGGGACCCTCCACTGCGGCCGCGAGGGCCTATTATGGCTCAGTTTCTACAAGCTCTAATATACAAAGAGCGTTAAAGTTCACCCTCGAGGCCCAGCCTTTTAACATAAGCCGTTATGTCCGAGGGTGATATGTCTCCTAGGTCTGATAGATCTAGCATGGGTTTGAGCAGTGGTACATAGCAGTACGCAGATTTAGCTCTTAGAGACATTTTTTATGACAGGAAAGCATGACATTTTCTATTCGACAGTTATTCGTGTATATGTTACTGTAAACGTCCGAAATGCAATAAAACCTAGGATAAGCGCGCTAAATCTAGGATTTACCAAAACCATGTAGTAAAAGCCCGAAAACTATTTATTTTGCTTCCATTTCGGACGTTTTTCCGATTTTTTCAAACAGTAATTCTTAGGATTAACCACACCGCATTGGTAAAAGTACGAATAAGCAAATGGTAGTAAAAACCAACCAACCGCACCAAATAACTATCTAACCAATGCATTAACACCCCCCAAATAACCAGGCTAACCAATGCATTAACACCCTCCAAATAACCAGGCTAACCAATGTATTAACACCCTCCAAATAACCACCTAACCAATGCTTTAACACCCCTCAAATAACCAGGCTAACCAATGCATTAACACCCCCCAAATAACCAGGCTAACCAATGCATTAACACCCTCCAAATAACCAGGCTAACCAATGCAGTAACACCCTCCAAATAACCAGGTTAACCTAATTAGTTAATGCTTTTGGTGAATCCTAGGTTTAGCGTGCTTATCTTAGGTTTTACCGCATTTCGGACATTTACAGTAACAAATATAAGACTGATATGTTACAAAAATCGATATCGTGAAACGATAATCGTTAAAATTTCAATGCCTAAGTAAACAAAAACAGATATGTGTTTGTATATCGACATCCTTAATTTGTCGATATTGTTGCTATAAGAAAAATAATTCGTAGTTTTACCAATGCGGTGTGGTAAATCCTAAGATTTACTGTTTGGGTCCGGTAAAAGTCCGAAATGGAAGAAAAATAAAGTTTTTGAGCTTTTACCACTTGTTTTTGGTAAATCCTAGGTTTAGCGCGCTTATCCTAGGTTTTACCGCATTTCGGACATTTACAGTGACACATATATAACTATTATTAGATCTAAATGTAATACAAGTATTCAAAATGGATTACAAATCTTGTTGGCATTCAATATCCCTAAATTTCTTTGTAATTATAGTATAGGAAATTGTTAAGTCAATAACCACATTATGATTTGTCATCAAGAAACATTTTCATGTTGTAATAATTAATTTGAAGAAATATTTTTATTGGGTTTTCATTGATAATTATAGTGTCTTTCACTAAGAAAATGTGATACATTAAGGTCAGCCTTGTGAAACAGGAAGCACTGTATCACTTAATATGTAAACGAATCCTGAATTCAACTTTTCACAATGAATCATCATGATTTAAAAAGAAAAAGGTTATATAATATTAATAACATAATAGGAAACCTTACTTTTGCAAAATGAATACATTTCAATAATTTTTCTGCATATATTACCCATCAAATTCTGTTTTTAAAACCGATTACCTAGCAGTTAAACGTGTACTACTTATAAATTTCTCCAAAAAATACTGTTTAGTAACTATTAACACATTTTGTTTATATCATCCGGTTTCATATTAGCTGGAAGCTATAGAAATTATAGTTATGTAACGAAATATAGGAAATTTATTATAAACAATCATACATCTTTATTAATATATTTAATTCTAATTAACATACTAACATTTAAAGAGATAATAATAGCTTTAATATGGAAAATATTTAAATTTTATTTGTTTTATATACATGGTGGGTCTCAAATAAGTGCAAATATTTTCAGGGCTGGTAGATCTCGATAAAAGAAACATATGATTTTTCTTTACAATTTTTCAAATAAGTCCAAAATAACCGATATATTTTACTCTGAAAATTTCCAAAAAAATAAATGATTTTTCGCTTAGATTTTAAGAACCACTGGATCTTTTCTGGGTTTCCTTTTTTGTAAACTTAATCTAGTACCAATCTTGCCACATTATGACGCTATTATGATTTTTAAATAAAAATTAAAAAAAAAAAAATCAAAAGATTTTCAATTTTTTTTTGGGGTCGAAATATAACTACCCCTAAAAATATTTGCACTTATTTAAGACTCACCCTATATAATAAAAAAAATGTGTAAATATTTGTACAAAACTGCATGCTACTGCCAGTCTGATTTTGATGCTAGCGATGATGCAGCTTGAAACACCCCTGTGATCGCCGAGAATATTAGTTTGAAAAGGGTGTACTTGGATTGCTTGCCTCCTCCCTAGAACATAATATGTTATATGGGACATATTTTATTAAAAACCACAACTTAAAGAACTATGAAAACCTTCTTAGTCAAGAATTTCTAAAGAAAGAGAAGAATCCCTGTTTATTTACTAATTTTCAAGTTTACAATTATCATTTTGAGCTGACTGCAGCAACTGAAAAATTTATTATAAAATTATTAAACCATTGCAACTAATATTTAACGTTATCTTAGAAAAGTAGTATATGTCTCTTTAAATAATAAACGCCCAGTAGTAGAAGAATCTCTAGATACGGTTTAAACCGGCGTCTGTTTTAACGGCACATACCAAAAATTACTAACAAAATATCTATCTATACTAATAATATATAAAATCCTTAAGTGACTGACATGCTGATAAATCACGATCCTGCTGAAACCACTCAATGTAAGAAGCTCAATTTTGGCATACAGGTTGATTCTAAGGTGTAGAGGTTCGATAAGAAGGGATTTTTCGAAATTCCAGTTCCAAGAGGGTGAAACCACCCCTCAAATATTACAATATTTTTTATTTAAAAAACGGTCAAGTTTCCGAAAAAACGCTTAAACACGTATATTTTATTTTGTTTTTGACATATTTTAAGATTTTTTAAAAATGTATACAGGGTGTTTCGATAAAAAATCTAATTTTGTTATTGATTAAATTGATTAATCACGATCCTGCTTAAAGCGCTTGACGTAAAAAGCTGATTTTTGGAAAACATATTAACTTTAGGGTGTAGAGGTTTGATAAGAAGGGATTTTTCGAAACTCGAATTCTAAGGGGGTGAAACTATCCCTCAAATATTAAAATATTTTTTTATTTAAAAACCGGTGAGTTTTTCGGAAAAACTCTTAAACACGTATATTTTATTTTGTTGTTTTACATATTTTAAGATTTTTATAAATTTATACAGGATGTTTCATAAAATATGACCATTGATTAATCACGATTCTGCTTAAACTGGTTGACGTTTAAAGCTGATTTTTGGCAAATGGATTGACTGTGGGGTGCAGAGGTTCGATAAGGAGGGATTTCTCGAATCTTAAATTCCAAGAGGGTGAAAACGCCCCTCAAATATTACAATATTTGTTATTTCAAAAACGGTTAGTCTTTCGGGAAAACGCTTGGACAAGCATATTTTATTTGGTTTTTTTACAAATTTTTAAAAAATCATACAGAGTGTTCCAAAAAGTTGGGTAATTTCCTAACCACGATTTTGCTTAAACTTCTTGACGTAAAAAGCTTATTTTTGGCAAACGGATTTTTTGAAAGTCACATTCCAACGGGATGAAATTACCCCTCAAATATTACCAAGTTATATAATAATATCGCCATATTGTTTTTTCTCATGCTGACATAAATGTGAGAAAATTTTATCCAGTTTGTATGTTAATGAAAATTCTTGCTTTCCTTTATCATCACCATTACAAATGATTAATTGGACGCGAACGAAGTCGCTGGTACACGCTAGTTCAATATAAAGACAAATCTCTTTTCATTTACAATAATACATTCACATATCTAGACTATTATTTCACTCACCCTGTATACGTATATACCAAGGAATTTAGCCAATTTTGGTATACTTGGTTTTGAAAGAGACAATATATAAAACAAGTTAAAAAACCTCAATAATTCGTAAATATTCAATTTTAATGGTGCTCTAGAGCTTCATTCAGAACTTCGCAATTAGTTGTTTTTATTAGCGTAGAAGTGTGTTCCTTTAATTTCAATGTAAGCATTCAGAACGTTAAAATTAGTGGTAGACATTTTCAATTAGTTTTAAAAGTTGACACACTTTTAACTTTTCTTCTAATTATGCTTCAAAATTTGTGAGAAATGACATTTTGGCCTTTGATTATCTTCCGTCAAGAGAAAATGTAGTTAAAAATCAAAATTTGATTGTTTTATAAGCTAAATATTAGGCTTTCATCTGTGAATACAACTGACTAACGCAAGCTGTTGCTAGGATATTGTATTAATTTTAATTGGTGTTTTTTAAACATTGTGAATAATCGTAAACTAAAAAGTATAAAGTGTAATTGAAAGCACTAATTTATTCCACTAATTGCTAAAGGTTCTGAATGAAGCTTAAATGTGTAGAAATTTTAATTTAAATATGGTCTTATTTTAAAAGTCATCCTAGCACAATCGTAATTTTTGGAATAGACATTTTAGGGCAAATCAACTAATCGAGAAAATATGAAAATATTAAGCTGGGCCCCTTTTAAAAATATAACTTTAGTGTAAAATATCAGAGTCACCCTGATGCATATTATATCAATAACATTATTTTTAGAATCTGCTCTACTGAGCCTTGCATATTTTATAGAAAAATTTAGTAAAAATGAAACCTAGATACAGAGTTTTTTACCCTGTAGTTATAGAAATAAAATTTTATACATGATAATCAACAATCTACAACTTAATGTAATATTATTTTATTTTAATAGAAATTAATAATTACTATGATCACCTGTGTAGTTCCATTGCCCCCACTTCCAAGGAATGTCTTGATAAATCCAGTTAAAAATGATCCAGAATCAAGCTGTGGAGGTTTGGCAGGTTTCATGGCATTATCGTCAGTATCAGGCTATATACAAAATAAAAATATTATCAGTTATAATAGTTGTTTATCAAAGGCATTAGTAAAACAATAATGCCCATAAATAGTAGTTAGGTATGGCCATCATCGTATACTAATGCCCGTAGTGCAGAGAAGATTTTTATTTTATTAATTCATTCTGTGCTTTGTCAACGTGCTTTTATACAGGGTGAGTTAAATAAGTGCACATGTAGTAGCGTATTTCGACCTCAGAAACTATTTTTTTTTGTGAATAAAAATGTTGTAAAATTTGGAAAAAAAATTTGAGATTTTTAAATTTTTTTGAATTTACAACAATGAAAACCCAGAAAAGATCCAGTGGTTCTTAAAATTTAAACGAAAAAACATTTTTTTTTAATTTTAAAAGATTTTTTTAATACGGAAATGTATATAAAAATAAATTATTCTATTTCACTAATTTAATTGCTTTTGTACAAATGTTAACACCCTAAATTATCTACAGTTATTAACATTAATAGACTGGTATGTTCATCTTATTAGCCAATGTGCTGTTTTTAAGCCTCTCACAGCTTTCGAATAAAGTGTTTCTACTTAAAAAGTAATTAGAAAAGCCATTTGTTACGCAAATTTTATATTTTGCTACATTTGCTTATGCCAATATATATTTTTTAATGACTATGGTATTTACACACCATTGCTGTAGGCAAACTAGTCGTTTTTGGTTCAAAATGTACTTGAAAAATAAAAATAATAAACTAAAATATTTTTATAGGGTGCGGGTAAAAACTACATTTTCTGTATTACAATTATTACTATCTTCTTTTCGTAATTCTGTTCTTTCTTTGTGTCTTCTTTGTAACTCTCTGTTCTTAAAATAACTGCAAAAAAAAACGCAAGCAGTATAATTTTTTTTTAATTTTTTATTTTTAGCCCTACTTCCTTGATTTTTTTAGCAAACAAAATGTAGTCCGTCGTCGAAAGCAAAAATATACAAAGAATAAAGAAAAAAAACTATTTAAAATATTTAAATTCAACTATTCGAGAACACTTTAGTTTTTTAAAACAGATACGTCTACAAAAACCGTTGACGTTCTGTTAAAATGACATTATATCAAGTTAAACTTCAAAATGAACAATTACTACCTGATAACAATTACTTAATAAGGTAAAACCAAAAAGCCCCAAACTTTCTGTATGATTATTTTTAATTTTTACGTATATTATTATTTATGTTATGTTCTTTAAAATCAAAGAAGCGATTGCCATACATTACTAACATCTACAGATGCATGAGCAATACATTTATTTTTATTAGATTGTATTAAAAAAGCCTCTTTTATTTTTCTTTTAGAGGCTATCGCTTTTTTCATTATAATTTTGCCGTTATTAAAATTTATTCTGTGCCCTGTGCCCCACGAATGCTGACAAATCTTAGATTTGTGAAAATCTCCCTTTCTTAAATAATCTTTATGTTCTTTAATTCGAACATTTAAGGGTCTAGATGTTTCACCAATGTAGATTTAGCCAGATAGCATGAAACACATATATAAAAATATATCTAAATTTGTGTATCTGTAAACCTAATTTCTGACAAGTAGTTTCCGTTTGGGATTAACGCAGAAGTGTTTACAAAAAATAACTATTTTATTATGTAGATTTTCATGCAGTGACGAAATACTCATATAGGATTTTTTGGAGAGATGAACCCGCCACATAGATATAGGGGAGATTGCCCCAGCGCCGGACAGTTCCCAGTACCGGACACTTTTGATTTTCTGGTTTCTATATGAATTGGCTGTAACTCCCTATTAAAATCAGTTAAAAACGCTATATGTACGTTACACATTTCGCGCCATTTCTATTTAGTTCATGTCGTTGTGGAGATATTTGTGATTAAGGTTTACGTGGGTGTTTTCAAGTGATTCCACTAAACTTTAGGCCCCTTTTATAATACGTAAAGGTAAGTTTAGTAGTTCACTAATAACTTATATAACAACTTACATTATTGGAGACTATAACCACATGCGCAAACGGACGAAATTATTTCTAGGTTATGTTCAATGCGTATTTTATTTTTTGCTGACATTTCCCCAGTATCGGACACCTGTACATTGCCCAGTACCGGACAAAATATAATTGATCGTGATAGGCAGATTATAGCCGTCAATACTATTATTATTTGTTGTTTCAGGCATATTAATCATGCCAAATAAACAAAAAGGAAAGTGGGATGAAACGAGCATGAAAAAGGCTGTGGACCATGTACTGTCAGGGAAATATAGCATTAGGGAGGCAGCGTTCCACTTCTCTGTTCCTAAAAGTTCTTTAGGAGACAGGGTCACGATTCTCCGAAAAGGAAATGCCGTTAAAATGACACCTACATTAGGAAGATTTGAAAATACATTTAATGTTGACTTAGAAAATGAACTAGTGGGACACCTTAAGGATTTGAATAATCTTTTTTACCAGTCAACAAAAAGGAATTTTTAAAGTTAGCATATGATCTCACTGAGCATTTCAAATTACAGCATCAATTTAGTAAAACAAAAAAGACAGCAGGAAATAAATTTTATCGTGGGTTTATAAACCGGCATCCAGAATTTTCGTTGCGTTCTGCCCAATCAACTAGCCTTCAGAGAGCGCAAGGATATTTAAACAAAAATATCTTTACAGAACTAGATTTTCTTCCTGCTTCAAACACTACGAAAATATTAGAAGCCGACAACCAAGAGAACCATGAACCTAAAAATCAGTCACTAACCCCTTCTACTAGCTTAAACTCCGGATCTCTAAACCAGTCTTCATTTGACAAAATAGTTCCCTCCGTTTCTACAAGTAAATCAACGGAACTTCTAACTTCTTCTTCTGTTGATTTTACCGTAAGTTTGACGCCCCGATCTCCTAATAAAGATACAAATATTTCATCTTCAATCATTGATGGGTTGATTCCCGCCATACCTGAAGTTAACAATGAAAAAAGTGGAAAAAAAGTAGAAATCTACACATTTACCGACAAAACAATGAACTTCTTTCAGTCAGTCGACTATGAGGCAATTCCCTCCACATCAACAGCCTTCCAAAATGCCATCAGTCTGATTTCTCCAGTTACTGATGATCTACAGAGAAAAATAATTTTAAGGAAAATGAAAGGAGAAAAAAGCGAAATATTAACTTCTACGCCATATAAAAAAATGCTTGAAGACAAAGCAGAAGTAAAATAGCAGGTTGAGTTAAAAAAACAGGAGAAAGCAAAGCAACAAAGTATAACAAAACAGAGTCGAAGAAATAATGAAAAACACAAAATCAATATCAAATCTGAAAAGTTTCTGTCTGTTAAACGAAAGCTAATAGATGAAGCTGAAGAAAAGAAAACAGACGAAAAGGCTTCTAACAAAACCGAGTGCATCATTTGCAGTGAAACTTTTGAGCAGGACTGGGTCCAATGTTCACGATGTGATGGGTGGGCTCATGTAGAGTGTGCTGATAATGATAATATCCTTTACTTTGTTTGTGACCATTGCATACAATAACTTATTAAGAAGTATGAATTCGTAAGAGTAGTATTATTTCTGTAATCTGTCCGTTTATCTGTTCTAATAAAAGCTTTGTAAATTTATTTATCTGGTTTAATATTCAAAATATATATTGTCCGGTACTGGGAACAGTTTTTTTACAAAGTGATTCGCAATACTGCCGTAAATTTATAATTTCACTGTCTATATGAATTCATATCGGTTTAAATTTACTACCATATATTAATTAGGTTTTCTTCCATCAATGGCAGTCTAAATTTTTGTAATAGAATATTTTTTCAAAAAAATAGAAGGGAAAGAGCTTAGGTGTCCGGCACTGGGGCAATCTCCCCTAGACATTTTTTAATAATCAGTATCTTTGGACCATTTGTCGTAAGTAAATTGAGACACCCTATCTAATTCCCCCATTAGCTTTTATCAACAAATAAAGCAATAATAAACTAACGAGATCGTTAGTTTATTATTGCTTTATTTGTTGATAAAAAATAAGTTGTTGATAAAAAAAGCTGGTTACACACGATTCCGAAAACCCAAACCAAGCATAACGCAAAAAATCCCGTATTTCATAATCCCTAATTCCATTCTGTGTGTTCTATATGTCCAGATCGATTAACTCCAACCAGCCAGTCATTCAATATGAAAAATTACCATTCTATAACGCTAAATATAAACTTACATAGCTCGTAACAATATCATTTTAAAACAAAGTAGTATACAGGGTGTCCCAGGCTGAGCGTGCATTAGAAGTTTCTAGAGAACCACAATATCTAGATCGGAGATTGTTTGCACATCATTGTTTTACAACCAGATCTATCCATTATTTTTTTTTAATATGGCGGCACTTCCGGAAATACCGGAAGTTGACAGCAACTGTCTTATTTTAAATGGGTGTCTCCATTTTTTATTACATACTTAAATTCTCTGTAAAATTCCATGAATATTGATGTTAAACACTCTATATCTAACATTAACAGTTTTTGAGAAAAAAATTATTTAAAATTTTTGGACGAAAAAAACTACTTGTCAAAAAAATTTGTATAGCCTAAAAGTCACATTTAGTGATTATCACAGCCACTGTGACATAAAGAGAAGACATGTGGCTATCTATTTCAAAAATTAAATTGTTCAAATGTCATATAATAATGGCGGTAGCTATTAAAGGAAATGAGAAAAAATTATCATAAATCATTTTTTTCAAATGGAAACCCACTTTTTTATTTCACTAATGAAACGGATTTTCAATTCCTTACTTTTTAACTATACATGTTCCTATACCTAAAATAAATCGTGTTTAAGTTAAAATTTATTATAGTATATTTTTTTTTATTTTAACCAAGTAGCCTATGACTTTAAACGTCAAGTCATGTAAAACAATAGATCTGGCCATATCAGATTTTGACACTTTGTTCAAAAAGTTGTATGTTATTGATCATTTCCAGGCCAACTTTGCGCTGTTTTTTTTTTCGATCATACGGTATATTATTAATAATATCA